TAGGTAGGAGGTAGGGTAGGGTAGGGTTAGGGTAGGGTAGGGTAGTAGGGTAGGGTAGGTGTAGGAGGGGAGGGGAGCATAGGAGAGTATAGGGTAGTGTAGGGGATCGGAGTTTAGGGGAGTGTAGGTAGGATACGGGAGGAGGGGAGGTGTAGGAGAGTGTAGGGGAGGGGGGCATAGGGTAATGTAGGGTAGTGTAGCGAAGGGAGGAGGGTAGGATAGGGGAGGGGAGGGGAGTGTAGGAGTGTGTAGGGTAGTATAGGGGAGGGGAGTGTAGAGAGAGGTAGGGACAGGGAGCATAGGGGAGGGGATGGTAGGGGAGGGGAGGGGAGGGGAGGGGAGGGGAGGGGAGGCAAAAGAGGGGAGGGGAGGGGAGGGGAGGGGAGGGGAGGGGAGGGGAGGGGAGGGGAGGGAGGGGAGGGGAGGGGAGGGGGGGGAGGGGAGGGGAGGGGAGGCAAAAAAGGGGAGGGGAGCGGAGGGGAGGGGAGGGGGGGGGGAGGGGAGGGGAGTGCTACCATAAATAAAATTGCCAAATACATGACATTTTGGATCTGGAGCCAAATCTTTGTGTACATGTCCTCTCCCCGTAGCCCCACGTGCTGTCCACGCACCCGAATCTGTCATACTGTTGTCAGAAAGAACAGGGAGCATAGGGGAGGGCAGGGGAGTGGAGGGAAGGGAAAAGAGGGGATGGGAGGGGTGGGGGAGCGTACCATCAATAAAATTGCCAAATACAATGAAGGAGCAGCAGAGCCTGCAACCTCCATTCCCCAACATCCTCCAACCACCCCCCACTGCTCCGTGGGAAATAGATAGAAGAATCAAGACTGAGGTTTAGCCTGGGATGGAGGTAGTGGGGGTGGTTTTTGTTTGGTTGGTTGGTTGGTTGGTTGGTTGGTTGGTTGGTTTTAAAGTTTTTAAATTCTCACTGTCCTACTTTGTGATCAGTTGGCAATAAATTCAATTACTCTTCCCCAAGCCAAGTCTGTTTTGTCCATGAAGCCATCTTCCAGTCCTGAAATAAGAAAGGAAATAGACCTGCAAGCACCTGTTACACAAGTGCATGAAGAGTGACAAAGGAGGGTTTTGGGCATGAAGTTACTGCAAGGATGCTCTGCTCTTTCCTCACTTCAGTATGAAAAGCATGGCACTAGTGGGTGGTCCTTGGTGGTAGTTGTTTTTTTGTTGTTTGATTTTTTTTTTTTTTTTTTTTTTTGTCAGCTCCACCCCACAGTATTTTGCTTGTTCTACTTGTTTTGGTGTGTCCCCATTCCCTCCCTCAAGGTAAAACATCCCTGGGGCCATGACTTGCTGTTAGCAAACAGATCTTGCAAAAGAGTGAAGTTAACATGGCACCACCTGCACTGGTGTATAAATAGCTCAAATATTTTCCCTCACTTTCCTGTATCTTTCCTGTAAATTGCTGGTCAGGAGATAACAAGTGGAGAAATTCAGGATAAGAGAGAGAAAGTTGTGTTTACTATTGCCCTGGAGTTTCTGTTGGTCTGGCCACGGAAATGGAGTACTCAAAATCCTCAGGACACTCAGTTTATACCAGATTTATCCTAAAACTGCAGGATTTCTAGGCCCTTGGGATTCTTAGCTTGTACCGTGCCTTGAGGCTCTTCTAGCAGGGCTGGGTTTGTCCGAGAAAGACACTGCCTCCCTCACTTGCCGATGGTACCCCACAGGAACAGGGTGGGAAGGGTCCAGTCACAGCTGGAAGGGTCTGGCTTTAAAAGCAGGGCCTCGATTTCCTTTGGTTGCTGCCACAGCTGCAGAAGAAAGGGGTGCAAAGACCAAGGTCTTTGGGAGGAGGATGCCTAACCCATCCTGGAGATACTTGCACTGACACCTCAGGCCATGGGGTGGGACACAGCAGGATTACAGCACACCCCTTGACACAGTGTGAGGACTGCTTACTCCTCAAAACCCACATGCAGCAGGTCCTGCCCTGAGGCTCATCCTCGCATGTAGTACTATAGGTGCATCATGGCTTTATTTTGGCTTCAGTCTCCCTGTTACTGAGATGGCTTTAACCTTTTTCCTCCTGGGCTCTGTAGCCACAACACCCTGCCTCTGCATCCAGAGTCCTGAGTGCATTCGGAACAAGGGCTCTAGGGACACAGCCCTCCTCCACAACGCTGGCGTGCTTCCAGTGCAATTAAAAGCAATTTCAGAGGGAAGGCACCCATCTGGGACTACTGCATCAGCAGTGTTCCCCAAGGCACCACACTACGGGGAGACATGTTCCTGAGGACAGCTTGTGGCCTTGGTCTCTGACAGCAGCAGCACTCGTGCTTTTTGGCACACCGCGTTTCCCACTGCAGAGGGGGGGACTGGCAGGCTACGTGGCCGGCCTGACCGAGCAGAGTGGCCACTGGAGGACCTGTCTTGGGCAGGTGAGCTCATTGAACAAAATCTGAACAGGATTAAGGTAGTGCAATGGGATTTGGACAATCTGAATTTTACCTTCTAGCGTTCTTACTGACAGCCTTTTTTACCTAGGTCAAAATGACCTTTCTGCAGCAGTTCATCAGGTAGAAAAATAAAGAAAAACAGAGGTTGTGTTCTCCCACCTTTCTTCTTGCCTATCTGCACTGTTAGGATCTCTACAGCAATGATTTCCCTTCACTGCGTGGCTCTTGTGTCGTCTAATCCCAAAGTCTCGCTCTCACGCTAATATTAGCCATATCTATAGCCAGTTACCACAGTGCAGGAGTATCACTGATATGAGGCCTGCCCGTGTTGTAGACGTGACTCATTTTGATGACACATCCATCTATTTGAGGTGTTCAGCCAACATGTGGTTTGGCCCCTTCTTTCCATGCCAAAAGACGATAACAGGAAACATTCTCCAAGACAATTTGCTCAGCCTTCAGGATCATGGAGATCATGTGTGCCTGTGCCACCTAGTGTCATAGCGATGTGATTTAACAGTACCCTGGACAATTAGCAGATGTGGCTAAGGCCAATAGGTACTTACATTCATCATTAATATATTTATTTTCATTACACTTAATTGTACTATGTACAACTATGATATGGGTTCTGAGAACATGGTGACACAAGAACTTCAGCAATGGGAAGCATTTGATAATGTGGCCACACTTGTCTTTCAAATCAGGGTGTCCTTGGCATGACGCTTCATTTGCTTCTCAGGAGTTAGCCTGGACATCATTACTCAGCATTCAGACAGTATTTCCTCAGGCAAAACTAGCTGCAAAGTCACATCATAGTAGAAATACTCTATGAGTAAGGCTTAAGTAAGAAGTACAAGATTGTGCCTGTTATCTATAAAGTTACACATGCCTTTCCTGATTTTTTATCTAGCTCACGTTCACATAATGCAGTTTTTATCTGGAGTTTCAGAAGCCTGTTCAGTGTGACTGCTGAGGCATTTGTTACTTACACACCTGTGAACGTACTGTTTTAGACCAAGGTTTAAAAGCTAAATGTAGCATTACAGATTTGAAAATCATTGGTGCAGATGACACAGACAGAAATATTACTAGCAGAGATGTATCTAAGAATACTCTGATACAGCAATCAGAATAAGAGGGTAAATAGAGGGAATGGAAATGACATCTGCAAGAAATTAAAGTGTTGTAAATAGAAAGGAGGTAAACAGTATACCAAAGGCTCCAAGATGACATAATCCATAGTGAAAAAGTAAAAATGTTTTTATCTCATGGTTTGAGAAACAACACTTGGAAGAAGAAAGAAATGGATATATGTGATTTAACTTCACACCACAGTATGCTATGCCTGCATCCTGATTACAGCACAAGAGGTTCCTTTAGAAATACTCAGCTCTCCCATCACTTGCCCAATCAGTTGCCTTTTGTGACAGTCATTGGTGGATGTTTAATAAACCACACTTCCTCTAACAGAGCCTGATTACTTGCCTTAATCTTTGCTACATCACTTTTTTTTTTTTTTTTTTGGATGTATGAAGACACTTAGCAAAACAAACTGCTGACCAAAGGGTCTGGGGGAGAGATTACTGCAGCATCCCTAGGCATAGGGGTGACTGTGTTAGTGCCTTTTACCTTCTGCCCAGAACAGCCTGCCTGCTGGCTGTATTGAAAAGGTTCAGTGAAGTCGTTTATTAAAATAATAACAACAATAATAATGAAGTGACACTGAAATTACCATTCAGGTAGGCCAAACTTGCACTGGGGTAGTTGGAAAAATGGGGTTTATGAATCTAAGGAAGAGTTTCTCAGATATTCCTTTTGTACCTGAAGGAATTACAGAAACACAGGGGAGGATATGGCACTAATTTAGCAGACGCATGGCACTGACTTAGCAGAAATTCATCAATCTGAAGTCCATACAGCAAGGGAACTCTACAAAACTGGTTTATAACTCGCTGTGCATTGAGTCACTTCCTCCTTCATTCACTGCAGGCGTTGCACGTTACCCGGGTTTTATTGCTAAACCTCAGGTGACCGACACCAGTGACACCTGCGTGTGATGGGCTGGGCTCTGCGAATAAAAGCACTCGGCACTGATATGACAGGAAAGGGGGCACATGACTGATACGGGGGCAAGCGAGCCACGGGGAAGAGCAGGGCAAAGGTGTGGAGATTTTATTTGGTCTGCAGTGTGAGGCACAGGGAAAAAACCTTTATCAAAATAAAATAAGATATATATATATATAAACACCCATTTAATGTTTTACAGAAACGATGTGAGGGATGAAGCCAGAAGCTGAAACTTTTATTTAGCGGTGACGCTTTGAGCAAATACGGAGGAGTTTTAGGACACAAAACCCCTCAGAGCCGCCCAGCCGCGGGCGCTGCCCTCAGGGTGCCGCGGCCGCCATTTTGTCCCCCCCGCCCCCTCCCGCCAAAACGGGCGGAGGGGGGGGGGCGGCCGCCATTACCCGCAGCCACCCCCTCAGAGGCGGGGGGCGGGTGACGTCACGGGAGGGGGCGATGACGTCACGGGGACGCGCTGACGTCGACGCGGCGCTGCCGGAAGAGGAAGCGGCGCTGTAGTGCGGAAGCAGCCGGCGGAGGGGCCGCGGTTTCGGTTGGTGCTCGGGGCGGCTGCGGCCGGCGGCACCCCCCACACGTCCCCCCCCCACACCCCCTCAGCGCCCCGCCATGGCGGGCAACATCGGCAACCTGCAGGTAGGGCCCCGGGGTAAAGGCCCGGCCCGGGCACGGTGGCGGCCTGGGGAGGCCTGGGCCGCTCGGGCGGTGCCGGGCTGGGCCGCGGGGGGGAGGCGGTTTCGGTGTGACTGGGGGCTGGTGAGTGTACGGGCACGGGAATGGCTGTGGAAAGGGCTTCTGGATATCTCCGCCGTGCTGCCTGAGGTTAGCTGGCATGCTCACAGGGGTTGTGTTATGCTTAGGAGAAGAAATTGATTGTACGTGGAAAAATGCTACGGGGCTAGAGGAGATTTAGGTGGTGTTAGCGACCTCCGGCTTTTTTTAACTGGTCCTTTTTAGGCCTCTATGAGCTAGGCGTTCAGACTCAATTTATAGCTGCCCTGAAGTGGGATAGGCCACGGCCAAGGAGCCAAGCATGATAGAAGGTAATAAACACTCAAGAGCACAGGAATAAAAGTGGTGTCAATAAATCCACAGGTCAGTGTTTGCAGTACGGTGGCTTGGATTACAACCAGTTCTGTTTGAAACTAGTTCAGCAAACAAGTTAAAAATTCAGCCCTAAATTCTCCTTAATAGAACTCTTCCAGTGCTCATAACTTAGCTGATTTCTGCCTAGTGGTCTCCTTTCCCCTGCTCCCTCCCAGAGCAGTGATTAGAATTTCTTAATTGGATGTCAAGAACCTAAATCCTTCAAGAGCAGCTAACCAAATAATCAGTCTTTTGAGCTTTGGGTTAGAGCAGTGATAGTGCTGGTTTCAGCGCTCTGTAATCGTGTACTTCCTATACGGACTCTGCTGTCAGTAGGTTTTCTGATGTCGTGACTCATGGATGAAATCGTCTGCGATGAAAAAACATGAAATATATTTCTAAACTTTTCCATAATAAATGCAAGAGATTGGTGATTAAAACTGCATAGACAAATCAGTAATAGTTGCTACACAGAAAATTAATCTTGTCACTTACTGCTTGTTTGTGTGCTGGTAAGTTGCGCTCATCACTGTTCATGAAAGGATGGGGATGTTCTGTACATAATGTGCCATCAAAGGCTTGCAATCAATTGCCTTCAGCCTTTTGGGGTAAACATTAAAGAGCAGAAAAGCTACACATCAAAAATAAGTCAGAGCAACAGTTTAAAATCTCTCTGATTATGCAAAATGCTGCCAGACAGCACTTACTTTAATTATTTGTTTCTGTTACAGAAAGCAATAGACCTTGCTAGCAAGGCAGCACAGGAAGACAAAGCAGGCAACTACGAGGAAGCCTTCCGCTTGTACCAGCATGCTGTCCAGTATTTTCTTCACGTTATTAAATGTAAGTGCAATGTGTTAGGTCATGACGTAGAGTTTTATAGCCAAATTGCTCAGAGTAATCTCTTATGGTGACATCAGTATTTAAAATCTGACTTTCATTACCAGTTGACACTTACTATCTGTAGTTTGACTGACGTCATGCATTATTCAGCTTTTGCCTTCGCTACATTCTGCTCCTTTCTTGTAAGAAAGCAGATTTTTTTTTCCTTGAGTGTTTATTAGTTTGTTGTTTTTCTTTTTTTTTTAAGAGAAGGACAGAGGGTTTTACTGTCTGCCCTCAGGGTTTCTGTTGTAGTGTTTCAGACTGGCCACTGCAAATGAGGAAACGTGACAGAAGTATGGGGATTCCTGTAGTTCTCTTGTGCAGATAACCATATCATACGCAAGAACTCTTTGTGGTATCCACGGAGCACTTCTTCCTTATTTACTCATGCCACTCGCTTTCCTACGTTTCTGCTGGCATCTTTGTATGCGATGTATGCAATGGATTTTTACGTTCTCATTTTCCTTTGGTTTCCATACCCTCATAATTATTTTATGCTTTCTCTTTCACAGTTCTTTGTACCTCTGCCTTGTGTCCAGTGTTTGTATGCAAAGAGTGGATTCTCTTAATGTACAGTCATAAACTGAGCACGTTAGGGTTGCTAGCCAGAGATAAGTGCACTCACATATCTCTGTAATTTGGAGGGAAGAAACCACTGAGCCAAGCGAAAAAGTCACTAAGGAATTGATAAAAACAGAGATTGACTTAATTTAAGTCTTACAGACTTTGACAGAGTACGACTTTGTACTTTTCCAAAATTACATTGACATTGTTAATCACTAGCATCTAAGCCTAATATTTTAAATTTTGATTGCTGATTTAAACTACAATAATAATGACTACGAGAACAGTGTGGCTGTTGAAACACACCTGTCTTTTTCTTTATGTCATTTTTCTTTGATGCGAATGACTTCTAAAATTAGCAGGCTATGGAAAAGCAAAGCATTTCCAGACTAAAAAAAAAATCGCTCGGCACAAGCATCTTCTTGATGAGCTAATTTAGAAAATGAATTATTAAAATAATGGACAATAGCTTGATAGGCTGACAGAAAAAACTTCCAGTGCCATTGTCCTTAATCCTGTTCAGTTGGGTTTTAAGCCAAAGCAATACTCAGGTGTGTTTGATTTCTGGTAGACGATTACTCCTTCCTGTCACTCCTTCTTTCTATGGTATAGGGGGAAAAATAAGTAGTTGAAGAACTTGGTTATGTGGTGAGCACTGAGAGGTGTATGCATAAGACGTAAAGATGACGGATCTAGTCTTGTTTTTTGATTGATGCACGTGTTTGCTGTTAACAAAACTTTGTTTCTCTTCAAACTCTTAGATGAAGCGCAGGGTGATAAAGCAAAACAGAGCATTAGATTGAGATGTGCGGAATACTTGGACAGAGCAGAAAAACTGAAAGAATATCTGAAAAAGAAAGAGAATTCTTCACCAAAACCAGTTAAAGAGTCTGGTCCTGCTGATGGAAAAGGGTATGTTTTGGGAGAAGGTAAAGCAAAATACTTCCTGAATTCAACTTACTCTAAAATTCAGCTTTTCACAGATCATTTTCACTGTTGTTTTGAAATGCTTCAGGTGACTTCTAATGTTGAAGTACAGTGGGCTAATAAAAGAAAAATAGCGTGAATTAGTGTCACAGGCTTTTCTGTGCTTGCTTACTAAGATGATTGAATATTTGCATGGGAAATTCACTGAAGAATGAAAGCTGGTTCAGACTAACACATTCTTATCAGATTTAAAACATCAGTGAGCCCGATGACGCAATTCTTCTGCACGTGAATGCTTGCCAAGTAGAAAATAAATTCAAATTGATGATTACTGTGGCCTAAGTTTTATCTGTCTCACATGGTAAGAGGTGCAAAAGGCCTTGTTGTAGGGTGATGTTCAATAAGGTGGCCTGAATCACTCCAGTGCCTTGCTGCTGCCTAGCCTCTCCACTGCTTTCCTTTTATTAGATCTGTGTTTCATTTTACATATTAGAGAGCTGAATCAGACCTCCTGAACAAGCAGAGCCTCTTGTTTCAGCATTTGCTGACGGCTTTATGGGGACAGGGGAGAGGAAGGGTTCAGGAAGGTATCTCCAGGTGAGATTGCCCTTTTTTGCAGCGCTGAACAGCAAGCATTGCTCACTTGTCTCTTGAAACTTCACCTGCCTTTCAGTCTCCTTCATTGTCTACTCATCTCATTAGTTTTCTTTTTTTGCAGCTGCGCTGCGTTCTGCTGGTTTATAATAAAAGGGATCGTTACTGTCACAGAGGCTACATGGCTCCGTGACCTCCCCCCCGTTGTTCTCTACCTAGTCTACTTTTTTCCTTGTGTAACTTCCTGTTCCCTTTATTCTGACAAGACGTGGGTGTAGAGTTTTTATAGTACCAGACGGAATTGACCAAGCCCAACTGCAGTTCCAGGTAGGGGATAAGTGCCAACATCCACAGCTGAACCGTTTTCGTGCTTCCATGTTGCTCAATGCAAGGGGTTTTGTTTCCTAGAGGATGGCTCAAGGCATGTAAAGTGTGTTAAGTGGAGGAGGGATCAGACCTGTATGAGGAAGTTGAAATGGTTAGGAGAGGGGATTAGAAAAGAGTGTGGTGTGGAAAAACAGAACTACAATGATCTAAGCTTGTAGAGATCTGAAAGAGCCTAAAATCTTAAGGTTTTTTTTTCTCCTCAGAGTGCTGTCTTTCTGCTTTTTGCCTTTTAATCTAAGACAGCAGTGTCTCAATGTATTTCAATATTTTATTTCTTGTTTCCAAGGAACGAAAGTGATGGGTGAGGAAGGAGAGTCAGAGAATCCGGAGAAAAAGAAGCTACAGAATCAACTTCAAGGTAACTTTGAAGCCTCCCTTTCTTTAAATAGAGATGACTTCAGTCAAGTGAATTTCTAGATTACTGGCACATATATTTTATGGATTAGTTTGTTGTCTTTAAGTGGCTCAATTAGTGTATACTGTTCATATACAAAAGTGTAGTCTTTGTGGAGCTATGTGTTTGTGTGCTGTGAATATGTTGAAGTTCATCTCCTGTCCTTTGTTTTTCCTGCTTGAATTCTAT